CACCACCTCACTTCAGCCTGGCGACAGAGCAAGAAATTGTCTCAAAAAAAAAAAAAAAAAAAGAAAAACATTTGAGCCAAAAGAAGGAAACTAGAAAAGAAAATTCGTTCAGTGATTCAAATGGAGATGCATGTCCATGCGTCTTAAAATAACTGGATGATATGAACTGTGTTTTCTCAGGGAAGAACTATATCCCCCTTTCTCCTATCAAGGTTGGCTAAGTGCACTCCCCTAAGCTCTCTGAGAACCTTGCATATAGCTCTATTTTAGCATTTACAATTCTCTTGAAAATGTCCATGTAAACACCATCTAAACTGAAAACTCCCCTAGGATGGGGACCATTCTTACTAATCTTTGCACACAAAACAGTACTTGGTCCTACCAGGTGCTCCATACATGTTTTCTGATCTGAACTTTAACAATTTTTTTCCATAATATTTTCTATTTCTAACATTTGCTGATTAGACCTGGCTTTTCACTCTCAACATTGCTACTAACTAGCTGGAGAATCCTGGACAAATAAATCATACAAGTTTTCTGAAATTCATCTATCATAAAAAGGTGTTGAAATAGGCCTAATATTCTTTCCAGCGCTAAACAACTTCCACGTTACAAATCAGGGTTTACAGATGGAATTACAGGTCTTGGAGAGGAGAACAGCAAATGTGCTTAGCGGGAGGGGGTGGGTGGAAAAAGAACGCTTATCTTGGCACACCAGTCTAGAAAGGAGAAGCAAAGTTGATTGGTAAGCCAAAATTTTGAAGAACAGGAGAGGGAGGCGGGGGTGTGAGGGGTGTGGGGTAAACATGACTTAGAAGAGGTGGTGAGAAAAAGGGGGTAAGGCAATCAACAGCTAGGTTCACCTCGATCTGTCAGAGCCCAGGGATGAAGGGATAGAGAATTTAAGGAGATAAAGTGGGCAATTAATCTAGTTCCCGTGAATGCTAGTAACAGGAGCCCCTCGTTTTTTCCTGATCCTGGAATTATCCTACAAGGAGAGGAAGGTGCTATGAAAATAAATGATGCCTCACAGGCGACAGGTGTTCCAGTGTCCCGAGACAGGAGCCCGCTGGAGGGGAGACTGGTAGGAAAGGAAGTCCGTCCTGTCGCCAATGGCCAACCGTGCTCGAAAAGTCCCAGGAACAAACTCGCTCATCCGCGGCGAGCGGATCTCGGGGACAGGGGTTGGAGGCCGACCCGCTGAGAGTGCAGGGTCTTGTGACCACCGACGACCGCAGAAAACGAGTAGAGTCTTCCCATCTGCTGCCAGCTTCAGTACAGGCCTCCAAGCCTGGGCTTGTTTTGGCCGCGACGTCACTTCCGATTTCTTCTTTCGCCTTCTGGCTAAAAAACGTTCTGCATCGGTGCAGCTGAGACTTTCACGTTTTTTATTCCTTTGTCTGTCTGTCTGTCTCTCTCTCCCTCTCTCTTTTTTGATGCCGTTACACTCCGAGGCCCATGCTGCCGCAGTACTACACAGACAGGGTCATTTGAGTTGACGGTTCTGGGTTACCAGAGCAGAGGAAGCCCCAGTCTCGCCCTCTGGTCACGCCTTCTGCGCCTGATCGCCCTGCCCACCTGATCGCCTTTGCGCCGCCGGGCTGCTTGAGCCTCAGGAGCTCGTCCTCCTACGTCATCTTTACGCGACGTTCGGTTCGGTGTGTGTGTCGCCGGCTTCTCTAGGGTCCATGTGATTTTCACGCCAGTGCTGCTGAACGGTCCAGGAGAGGGAGCTGGCCGGGTCCGATTAATTGTCCTTGAGTCCAAGTGTCTCTTCGGGCCCTTTGGGGCTCAGTGGAGGTAGGTGAAGGCGGCTCCCATTGAGGAAAGCCCAGGCTCACACTTGGCACACTTGGCCTTCCTGTGTTACCTGGCATGCTCTTCTGGGGCTTCCCAGGCTCTGTAGGAGAATGGCTAAATTCTTTAACCGGTTCAAGTTCCCCTCAGTTAAGCTTCGACTTAGAGTCTTCTCGGCGATTACACCCTCTCCTGTCCACCGTTGTTAGTTACCGGAGTAATCAGCAGCAACTCTCCAAGGCAATGGACATATTTCAGTCTGTCTTTGCTTACGAGGTTCCCTTAGGTGCAGTGAACGTAATGGAGTTTTAAAAGATTTGGGAGATAAAATCAGCATATCTTGTTAACTGTTTGGATGTTAGGAGTGAGGAAGACGGACACGTCAAGGCTGAATCTAGATTAATATCTGGTGCCAGTCACCAGCCAAAATGGAGTATATTGGAGTATGCGAGGGCACAGGCCATGTCTTTATTTCATTCACCATTGTATCTCCAATGTCTAGAACAGTGCCCTGCACATTGGCAGGTACTTTAACGAACAGAAGAATGTTCCCCCTTTAATCATTTGTCATTGTATTTCATTAAAGCACCTTTTAAATATATGTTACACTTATCGTGGTGTTACTGATGTAAAGTTTTCAGGTTTTTCGTAATAGATGATGAGTAGCAGCACTGGAATCATTTATCTGATAACATTGAATCTCTTGCAATTGAATCGTTCTGGAAACATGTTTTGGCTTGATTGTATGTTATTTAAAAGTTTTATTATGCCACTTTAATGTTGAATTTAATTTCAGGATTGCTTTATTACAGTTTTCTTTCCTGCTGTTCAAATCTTTTAAAGTAAATTTAATTTTAAGCTTCTGCATTAGAATATTAGCTTTGTTTTTCTTACTTCTTGGCATTTTTAGGCTTTCAGGAAATCAAGTCCGTAACTGTAATTCTTATAGGTTAAATGTCATCTTAAGCTTGGTTTCAGGAAACTTGTATTTGCAGTTTCACCTTAATAGTTCCTGTTGCCAGAAAATGGGCACTCAAAGCCAGCATAATCCTTTTTGGTTTGGCTTCTGGAAGACTGTGCTAGATTTATTCCCAAGTGTTGTAAAATGGTTGGCTAGATGTGAGAACCTTTGTGTACAGCTAAATGGATGGTGCGATATGATAACCCTTACTGTAATTATTCCTGCTTCCTATAGATTGCTTTTCCTGGGTTAGAATTAAGTGGTTTATTGGTCTCTAATCTATAAACTTCCACACAGACTTTTGAAAGAAAGCAGAGTGAAAATCAACTATATGTACAAATTTATAAATAATATGTATATAAAATATTTTCTTTTTCAGACTTAAGGCAGTCATTGTAATTATTTCTAATATCAATTCTAAAATATTGACCCTTGGACAACAGTGCAATTTTTAAAAAATATTTCTTTAATTTTTTTTTTCAATCGACTTTCTCAGGTTGAATCATGATCTTTAATTTTTTTTACTATTTTCTTGCTTCAGTGAAGGAAGACAACAGTCAATTATATGGAATTATGGCTGGGTATAAGCCTGTAGCTATTCAGACATATCCTCTGCTTGGTGAAAAAATTACCCAAGATACACTGTATTGGAACAACTATAAGGTGAGTATGGGAGATAATGAGGGAGGAGGGATTTGTGTTTATGCCAATTTCTCTAGCATATGTTATATTCTGCATGCTCTAACAGAATTATTAACTAAAAACAATCTATTCACAGCTTTTAGTTTGGGCAGATAGTTTGATATCTATTTTTTCTTGGAATTTTATAAAAAAGTCCGTATTGCTTAATCAGATTAACCATACAAATATCTAGCACAGAATAGATGATCAGTCAATGCCTAATGAATTAAATTTTAAAATTTGAATTTCATGTGTGTAAAGATGTTTATTGAAGTATTGCTTTTAATAGTAGAAATCTGGAAAATTTCTACTATTTTTGTTTCTACATAAATACTTATGTTTATTAGTAGTGGACATAATTTACTATATAATGTGGCCTTATAATGGATGGTAAGTTTATTGCTCCTCTGAAAAGTTAGCTAATATGTGTTACTAAGTGAAAAGAAGCAAGATGTGGAACAGTCTGCATAGTAGGATTATCTTTGTGTCATTTTAAAAGTATGTGGTTATTGTATGCTGGTATAGACATAGTAACTTTTTTTTTTTCTGGTGGAAATCACAGTAAACTCAATAGCTGAAGAGATAGAGTAGGGTGTGGCTTTCTAACCATATGTTTATTTCAGTGGCCACAAGGATAGTCTGGGTGATGATATGGACCTTTTTTGCTTTCTTTGTAATTTTATGTTAAATACAACCTAATAAATGTTACTAAGAACAAAAAGAAATGATCTGTAAGAAATTATGTAATGCTTAAATAGATCTTACCAGTGGTAACTCTGTTAACACTCTACTATTTTTTATTAAGACCCCTGTTCAGATTAAGGAATTTGGTGCAGTTTCAAAAGTAGACTTTTCTTCTCAGCCTCCGTATAATTATGCTGTCACAGCTTCCTCAAGAGTAAGTATCGTATTTCTTTATTTTTCTTTTGTATAGTTTATTACTGATCTTGAGCATCTGGTGAAATACTGTATTTCATCTTGTAGATTCACATTTATGGCCGATACTCCCAAGAACCTATAAAAACCTTTTCTCGATTTAAAGACACAGCGTACTGTGCTACTTTTCGACAAGATGGTAGATTGCTTGTGGCTGGCAGTGAAGACGGTGGAGTTCAACTTTTTGATATAAGTGGAAGAGCTCCCCTCAGGCAGTTTGAAGGCCATACAAAGTAAGAGACAGTTGGTTTTGATGTGTTCTGGTTTTGTTTTATTTTGTTGTAAGCTCTGTTTTTTTCTCTCTTTGATGAAAAACATAGAGAGCAGTTTTATGTAGATTATTTGCCTGTGTGTACTGTATTTCCTGATTGTTCCAAGAGCACCTAACTTGGGTTCTGTGGTCCAGTTTCATAGGGCTCATGTATTCCCTAGAATTGTATGTGATATTGTAGGAAATATATGTTTATCTAGGTAGTTGTTCTGTAGCTTTTGGTTAACTTTAGCAATATCTGTGGCACAGCTGAGGTTATGAATTACTCATCTAAAGACAACCTTACAGCTAGTAATGAGAGCTCTATAGGCCTGTACTGTCTTAGAGCATCTTATGTTGAAGTCAAGTTGGAAGGTAGATTTTCTTTTCTTCTTGGATTTGTACTGTTTTGCCACTTGATAAATTAAGTGGCCATCACAATTTTATATTATAACTTTGTTTTCAGGATTACCAGTATCATTGCTGAAATTTGTTAAAATATAACAGAAATTTATGTAACATTCTATTTAGTGGCAAATCTTTTTTGAGTTTTTTAAAGAACTTTTTGAAATGTTAAAAGTTAAAGGGCCTTTGCTCTCGTATTTAGCAGCTAAGTGGAATTGTTAACATATTAGAATATATAATTTTAAGGCTATTCTTTAATATTCTTTTTAATTTCATAATGTAGGAGTATTTACATTTCTTAATTGACCTGGGGTCAAACACTTTAACGTTTTCTCTTTCTCTCATGATTTCCCTCTGTGAAGACTTCCTGAAATTGACCTGCTTTTTTCTTAATCTCAGAAATAGGAGCATTTTATGTTAGAAGGTACCAGAAAAATAATTTTCTTGTTTTTTCATATACTGATCTTCGATCTTTCAGAGCAGTTCATACAGTAGATTTTACAGCTGACAAATATCACGTGGTCTCTGGGGCTGATGATTATACAGTTAAATTATGGGATATTCCAAACGCCAAAGAAATTTTGACATTTAAAGAACATTCTGATTATGTGAGATGTGGATGTGCTAGCAAACTTAATCCGGATCTCTTTATAACAGGTTGGTGAACTCTATTCCCTCGTGAAGCAAATAATCTCATGGGGATGTATTTTAATCTTGCTATGGGGTTCTTTTGGGATGGAGGGGCTTAAAATTTCTTTTATAAAGGAATATGTTTCTGATGAATTCACCAGTTTTTAAATACATTTTTACGTAGTATGTTTGTATTTATTTTGAGACAGGTTCTCGCTCTGTTGCCCAGGCTGGAGTGCAGTGATGTGATGATCACTGCTCAGTGCATCTGCTACCTCCTGTGCCCAAGTCGTCATTTCACCAGAGCCTCCCAAGTAGCTGGGACTATAGATGCCCACTATATCCATCTACTTTTTGTATTTTTTGTAGAGACAGGGTTTTGCCACGTTGCCCAGGCTGGTTTCAAACTCCTGGGCTCAAGCAATCTGTCTGCCTCAGTTTCCTCCCAAAGGGCTGGGATTGCAAGTGTGAGCCACCGTACCTGGCTTCCCATTGCTTTTTATTTTCTTATTCTTCTTTTGGTGATTGTTCATGTCTTCCAAATGTGTTGGAAAAATCAGGGTGTCTTGAAAACATATAGACTCTCAGAACTGTAATGGGGAATACACTGCTTCAAGCAGTCAAGAAACAGACAGTGCAGTTTAGCCTCTGTGGGTGCCTTTACAGAAATTTCCAGATGATTCAGTAGTGACAGTAGTCCAAAGAAAGGAATATTTTAGGATCAGAGCAAGTTAGATTGTATAGTATTGTGTAGTGCTTCTTCAGATACAATCAGTGGTAGAGGGCTTGGAGGTCCTGTGTCTTCATGAATATACATATATGTCTTTTTAAAGCTCCATCTAAGATTTTTTGTCCTTTTAAAATTTATATCTGGATACATATGGTTTTTGTTGTTTTAAACAGTGAAACTAACAATATAAACATTGACATTTTAGGATCATATGATCATACTGTG